CGAATCAACAGTTGTATCGGTGTTCATTAAAAAATACAGTGACAAACATTTTAGAGGACTGGATATTTTAAGCTTTCGGAAAATCAACAGAGCTACAAGGTATACGGTAGGGTGCTGGAAGGTGAAAATTAAGATTGATTATTAAACCAAGCCATTCACTATCTGAACGTTGGTATGTCTGGCTGATTTGACACTCTTGCAGTTAATACACAGCGAACCAAAACTTAGAAGATTTTAACAGTTAAAGAATTTACAGCATTTACCTATGATTTAAATCGCTTCAAATATGTTTGTTTAACAAAAGAGGTAAGTTGAATACACCTAAACCTATTGCAACGTGTGGCAGCTTACTAAACAATTAGTTGAAAGTTGCTTATATGCCAGCTTATTTTGCTTTTCCATGTATGAGTTAAAAGTCCAATTGCATGTTAAATTTAATGTATGGTTCACTAAGTAGCGTATATTTTAAATGCAATTATATGATGTATGGAAACAAATAGTCGATAAAATCTAAAGAAGCCGGCTTATCCTTGTCGTGCTGGATAAAACACATGTGCCCTTGCATATTTGCATTACCATGTTGCAGAGTCAAGATTTATTGTACAATGAAACGGATCAGAGTTTATATAGCGTACCAGGCGATGGTTTAACTACAAGATACTAGTACATGCATTAATTTGTGCAACAATAAAGCATGTGTTTTGAAATTTTCAAATGTAGAATGCGCCAAGGCATTTCGTATGGCGCTATGACGTTTTAAATTATGGGGGACCATCTAGCGTGACCAATCATTAGTTGTCGCTGGCATATTTGGCCGATTTGCCATAAGCAATTATGTCGAGCATTAGCACATGATCCCATGCACCAAAATGAAACCACGGAATATTGGTTTCAGTAAACTAACGAAGCATTCCATGACGATCGATCAGTCTACTTCAGTGTAGAGAAAATGTATGGCTGGAATAGCACAATGAACAATGGTTTTTAACAGTTAAAACGCACTGGTTTACAAATCCCGTAAGATGACTAGGATAAAAAATAAAAAGTGCTTCTTTAAAGCTCCAGGAAATAAGGAGAACCTATGGTTTATGTTGACTCGCCATTTTTCACAATAATACATACTGTTTTTTTACCGCTAAGTAACGGAGATGGTTTGTTCGCTCACTGATGTGATTTGTTATATTGATGGAAGCGAACTATATACCTAAAGCAAATATGATAGAGTGTGCTCCAATCGTTTCTTAAAGTGCGTTACACTGCGCGAAAAATTAATATAAGAAGAGAGAGCATCCGATTTTCTGCAAACCTAAAGTTAGCACACGTTTGGTCGGCAACCAAGTCAACTTGGGTTTTCGGTTTAATTGAGCTGGTGGCCCTCTCATATTAGTATTGATACTGAAGCAGCAGCTCACGAGAGACGTGTTTGGGCGTAGACGGCATTTCATTTAATAAATTGCCTTATCGGTTTCGCAGATATTCCTTCCTATGCAAATCAAAGTCTTGCAATTATCCTTGGTAGGTGAACCAGTCTTTTAATTATGTTCTTTGCCCTACTTTGTGCAGTACAGAGTGCAGTAACATCCTGTTGTTGCCAACATCAACAGGCCTGGACCGCGTATTTCACGTGTGACTCATGTAGACTTTCTCTGTTTGTAAAAACATTGACTGCGGTGAATTCCCGAACAACATACTTAGGAGCCCAATTTGCTGACAGGCTCTTCTCTACGCTATTTTGTCCTGGATCCAGGAGATAAGGTCGTCCTGCACGCCTACTACAGGTCGCATCCTAGCGTAGCACGCTGCACCAGATGTTCTTTTACTTCAGAATAGGAAGTACACTGAAAAACTATGTTCCGTACTTATATCTAACCAAATTTTCGGAGGAACATGTGTGGGCCCTGACGAGGTTTAGTTGTAGTGCCACGTGGTCTTTAACTGTTTGGATGTCTTCCCAAATAATGACGTCGTTCGCAAATCGAATGGAGTCTAATTGCATCGCCCTTGCAAGGTTTTGCTGAACACTAATAATCATTGTTTTCCTTATCCCGAACCATGGAACAATCCACACTGGACTTCAATTGGGTCAGAGATAAATCTGTGGGCCATCACATTCAGCGGACGTTGTATTAGAATTTTGCTTATCCAAACCAACTATGGGTCCAAGTCCATGGCTTCCAACGCTGTGAAAGGTAATTCGGAGATCTACGCGATCTTTTAAATAAAGCGCGTTTACCACATCAACTCCTTGTTTGGCATCGGCCGACTTCATCCAATTTGCTCATGCAGGTAAACATTGTATTTGCAGAACAGAAATCGTCAGGATCCGTGCCGCTGTGACAATTTGAGGTTGTTGCTCTCCATGTAATCCAACAGCGCTGTTGCTATTATCCCTAACATAGCACTCGATAACGATTGGAGGAAGGTAAAAATGACAATGGTTAGATTGTTTTACGTTATTGCCACTGTTGAAAATAGGCTTAATTATACCCCATTTATACATGATCGTGATCCACATTTCCTCAATACTCCGTTAGAAGAAGAGAGTCCTTCAGATAGGAAGTCCCAAAGTGACCACTTAGAGCGCCATTGTTCTAATAATGTTCAGGTTGTGCACGGGCAAGTACAGTTGACAGTTACACAAATGTTGAAAGTGTAATGTAATGGATGACGTTGAATTCATCAATATTTTCACTGATGTATTTCGCGTTACAGACGTACCGGAAGAGCAGCACTGTGTGATCGTTACGGCGAAGAGTTGGAGTTATGTTTACTACATCAACCATTAGCTCCAATTTTGTAAACAAAAAATTCAAGACATATGGTTTGAATCCAATTTGTATCTCAAAGGCGCGCTTAGATGTTTGTATATTGGTACGGCCGTGACTACTTCTTGCAAGTCCGGGTTGAATTGTTAGCAGAGCAATGCCTGGACTTCGAATGCTTTGCAGTTTAAACCTACCCACCAAGAATATGTGACTGAATGACTGTGCTAGAATTTGCTTCCTAGTCTACACCCAGGGAATACTTTTTCAGGGTGGAACCAGGGGGTGGTAGGTTATAGTCAGTAAGCACATGTCCCATCGTTTGATTTGCAGGCAGCAAATGTGGTACTCGTCAAGCAGATTTTATGGATCGTCGATGTTAATAACTTGTAGGTCAGATGGGTATTAAAACATCATTCCAGGTGTTCTACCGTGTCAATCTTTGCGTACTAGTGTATTTTCTGACAGGGCTATCATGCCATCAGGGATATTAGCATCCATTTACGTTATCGAGATGATAACCCGAGGTGTCTAAGCATGAAGATTAAGAGGCTCCGTTAACCTACTGAGAAGACCAAGAGCATTGGTACATAAGTAAGTGACGGCTTCAAATGTCAGCAGCATATTGTAGTTGCGGCTTCGTGTTTTGGGCTTACGCAGACAAATGTGAGATCGGTTGTCAATCGCATCTAGTTAAACTCTAATCATTGTCCTTGATGAATTCTCGGTTAGCATATAGAGTTCTTAGCGTCGGTATGTTTCTGCAAGCAACCACATTATTCGTCTGACAAATTTGTTCTGAGCGGCAAGCTGATGGGGACATACACAATTGTTGCATGTTCTGCGTTATCTCCTCAATTTATTGTTTAACTTCCATTGATTTTTACCTATTTCGGGCGGCAGCATCTTTCTCAATTTTAAACAGGTTTATGTTACCTACCTTGCAATAAGTGTGGCTGGTAGTGTTAATTCTTGCACTCATGGACAGTTCCGCCAATCGGTGGTGAAGATGCGAACTTTGAAATCAAATGTGCAAACTCAAATTCTAGTGTGTTATTCCCGGATGAAGCGCCATATATTGCATCCATGATGTTTTGGTCTGAAGCTCAGAAACACCGTAGAAATATGCGATTTTTTTCTTTGTGTTTGCGGTCGTCGTCCAAATTGATTTTGCATTAATGGCGTTTGCTCCTTAAATCATTGGAAAACTGCGAATAGCACACTGAGTTGCCTGAAAGCGGCTGGCTAAAAAAAGAAATCTCTCTACACCATCAACTCACTGAAGCTTTCTTGGAGTAGTCGTAGTTCGCGTTAGTTGCCGACCTTGGATGACGCAAGCAGCGCATCTTTCTAGTTGGCTATGCTAAGACTCTAATTAATTGCTAGATGGCATCCCAAGAAATGAAACGCAAGCTCCCGCATTATGATTGATAAAAAGTTACATTTCTATTGGTCTGCATAATGTCCTAAGAGTTTTATTGTAAAGCAAACTTACGTAAGAAAACTAAACATATATGAGAACATGGATAGAAGAAATCAAGCAAGAAGACTGTCAACAATTGTTTTCTGACAAAGCTGAAATTGGCGGTTGCGCGCGTTCGGTTAGAAAGAAAATATGGATAATGCATCGCAAAAGAATTGCTTTTGACTTTAAAGTTACTGCACTGAAAAATGCCGGCAAAGTTACATTATTACCATACAATTTGCTGTAATACGTCAATTTGCATCCAATAAGATCGTTTAGTTAATTGCTGTCGCGCTAGACATTTTTGTAAGCCATGATCCGTCGACAATTTTAGGCAACGAATTAGATGATGTAATGAATTAAATGAGTGCAGCAAGGTATCCTACGAGTCAATTCGCATTACCTCATAATCGGCCAGAAATCCCGCTTTTCAGTAGTTCTTGGTTGTATTCTTTCAATTCACATGTTGACAAATTTTATGCGTTGAATTATGTCTTATTTATGTAGCCCACACCGGACCGATTGAACCACTGTTATGTAATGGTGTTCTATTGGTTAATAATGCAGACGGATGGAAGCCGGAATACCGAAAGTGTTTTCAGACCGTTCTGCTGAACAGGTGAAAGAAAGCCAAGTAGCAAAATATACGAATAGCCATTGTTGTGGCATAGGTTCCATGCAAATTTTGTTGTTGCATACTGCAAACAAAGTACAGAACTGTAAATATTAGACACAAATGCACGATTTTACAGAGTACTTATTTAATTTTACAGAAACCGAGGTGAACGCATGGAAACTTTTACAAGCAAGTGAGTGACACTCAGCAAGATATATTATTTCTTTGTTTGATGCCATTTAAGAAAGTTGTCGATGAATATAAATCACCTAAGTTTTAAAGATTGATATGCGGTACTTAGCGATGGTTCTGATTCTTTTGGAAACTAGGTGAAAAAATATATATTTTGTTCTTAGAGATATATATGAAGATATTTAAAAGCAATAATCATTACGCCAACCAGTATTCTTCCAATTTGCCATTGGTTATGATATTATGTAACTTATTCATTCCCTCTGACTGATCTATCTTTGAATTATTATCTGCTCGCTGTTTCATTAAAAGCAAGCTGAATTCTCTGTTGTCGGTCCATTCGTCAAAGTTAGGGACTCGACTGCATGCGTTTCGTCAATAACCAAGTTGCATTTTTCAGCGCAGTACAGTGCAGTAGGCAACCTCACTGATTTTGTACGCAATGATTGTAAACACTTGAATCCGACCATTCTCATTAGAATCAAGTAATCTTCACTCGTGTGGGAATTACCACTTACTTCAATTCCAAGTATAGATCTATGAATGAATGAAATGTACACATGTGTGGCCTACATGGCCGCTAAACTAAGATTACTAATGAGCAATGGGTTATTTCTGTATCTTCCGGGGTATCTCATCACGCTCCCCTCTTTGAAATATAGATAAACAGATAACATATTTGCTACATTAGTGGTACGTTTACGATATTTAAGCAACGAAAATTAGTTTTTGGATATTAGCCACTCAAGAAGGTTTTGGATGAAATCCGGCTTAACTCCATTCGCAGATGAAATACGATTCTATTAACGATTGTATTAATGCGGAACATGTTAGGCAGCTTAATCCAGACATACTTTTAACATGAATGCTTAAATAAGGACGCAGGTTGCTCTGTCAAATTGATGGCGCACATTCCTGCTGAGTACTTTATTTTGAAATTTAGTTCTCAGATCCTAAATAAACAGCAGTTTTGGGAGTTGATGCAAAACTTGTTTGCGGAACGGTTTATGCACATACCAATCAAAGGTGCCTAATTCACGGAACAAAAAATTTAGTAATCATCTCATCGAGATGGATAGATTTATTTTTAACATATCCAAATAGTTTAGTTAAAACTTTTTTGGGCAAGTTAAATAGCACTATAATGTATGTTCCAGCAATCCATATACTGAATGTTACAAGTGAAATGTAAATGAAATAACACTAAGCCATATTTTTGAGAATTTGCAACAAGATGGAGGGAAAATAGCATTTAGGTACCGTCAACATTAAAAGTCCTGAGTACCACCTATTGCTAGATCACTCATCTACGCATAACAAATGACGAGTGGCAGAATAGAGTGGTCGGAATTGGTCAACCAAACATGAATAATGGAGATTCCGTTTTTTATTTCACTCCAAATTATTCAATGCATATTGTAGTTGGCATAAATTGTTTTACTAGTATCTTAGGATGGAGGATATCGGGTGATGTGTACTATAAATTTCAGCATGCGATACCTGACGGACAACTGAGGTAACTTAGTGTACTACTAAATAATATATTTAATAGACTACTTTATTTTGGAGCAAGTAGAAAGTAATTATGTACAACTTCATCGGGTGATAATCAAAAACATTTTAATAAAATAAATATATACGCCTGGTGTTTATCCTGAGAAGGATAAGCAACTCCTTCTGTACCACACAAAATGCTTTTTCACACAGTGAGTCACAAGTGGATGATATCGTTGTCAAGTGGCAACCGTTCTCTGAAACGCATGTTAGCAAAGGGTACATCCAACAAAGATTTGAATTTCTGCACAGATTCGGCCTCGACGTCGTGTTCTGGCAGACTGTTTGAGGCGTGAACAACCTTCCGCTCGGCAAACAGGTTGTGGTACTTTCTTCACGAGTTTGTACCTGTGCCCACGTGTGGTGCATGGTACTCGCAAGTGGAGCAACGACCTCAGCATGTGGAAATGACCGAGATGTAAAATACTGTAGGACATGATAAGATCCACACGAACACGGCGAAACGACAAGGTATAGAGCCCAAGTTTCATGCACCGGTTTTTATACGATAAGCCTCTCAAGCAAGAGATCAACTTGGTGGCGACGTGTTGTACTCGTTCGATCTTTTGCGCTTTGCCGCAAGCGATCGGACAGTCTACAGGCGAGAAGTACTCTAGCATTGGTCTGACGATGGAAGATAAGAGGCGAGCGGCGACGCTGTCCACGGACTATCAGTCGCAGCATGAGAGTACACCTAGATCCTTCACGGAAGGTGTGGGATGTAGCGGTTGGCCGTCTAGGGTGTACGTTCTGCCGTGGACAGCCTTTCCGGGATTCATGAATAAGGACTTTGCCGGGTAGACTGGTAGGTAGACCTCAACAGACCAAACTGCGAGGCGGTCGAGGTCTTGTTGGAGAATGTCACAGTCAGGGAGAGTATTAATTTCTCGCCAAATTTTGAGGTCATCCGCAATCAGTGCACACGGCGACCGTAGAAGCTGAGGCAGCTCGTTGGTGTGGATGAGAAACAAAGTGGATCCCAGTACCGTACCTTGAGGTACACCACTGATCGAGGGATACCAATCGATTAGATGGCCGTCCACCTCTACCCACCACTTTCTTCTAACGAGAAATTCATGGATCCATCGATGTAACTATCCTCCGACACCATACGACCTTAAGCTGTCTAGAGCACTTCATGGTTAACTTTGTCGAATATTTTGCTGAATTCGATGTAGGTTACGTAGACGGACATTCCCAGGTTCAATGCTTGCAACCATTCCTGTCTTGTCACAAGTAAGTTGGTAGCACAAGAATATCCTACCCTGAATCAGTGTTGTGCCGGTGTCCGAAGTTCTTTCGATTGCAACAGATGTATTAAACGCTTTTTTACTATCTTCTCGATCACTTTGGCCAAAATGGGTGTAAGAAAAATTGGCCTGTAGTTATCCACTTTACTGGGATCCATACCCTTTGAGGATCGGCCTCACCACCGAGCGCTTATAGTCGCTTGGCAATGAGCCCTCAGACAATGGTTTGTTAAATAGATCCGTAACAGCAGGCGAGATAATGGCAGCTAGAGACTTGATAATTAGCAGATTAAGCCAGTCAGGCCATGCAGGCTTGGTACCGTCAAGGTGCGCAAGTAGCAGGCGCATCTCATCGACATCACCAACCAAACTTTTGAGTTTCACAAGAATGTTACGCGCTGAGATGGGTATGGACGTCGCGTCGTTTGCAAACACGGCAGCGAAGTGAGGGGCCAGTGCGGACGCGCAACCAGGACTGGAAGTTAGCTGGTGTCCGTCCACGTCTTCCAGACATGACTCGTCACCTTTTGGCTTTAAACGCCGTTGCAAGTAAGCGTAGAGCTTCTTTGGGGCCATCGTCGTGTCAGTTGCAGGCTTTGCTTCGAACTTCCGGCGCTTTATCAATTTCAGTTTGTTGCTAATATTTCGCGGTCTTTTAGATGCTTCGTAATCAGTGGCGGGGACAGAGAGACGAAATGAGTCCCACATTCCACGCCGTAACCGAGCCAGCTTACCATATTCCTTGTCGAACCAGTGGGGTTTGCTTGGTCCGACTTTCTGAAATTTCCACGCCAAAAAGTAAGAATAAAGCGAAGATAATCCTTCCTTTATTACTGTCTAGCCGTCCTCCACGGATGTAACATGCGGTAGGGACCGATCCATTGGGCTCGCTGCTCAATTTAATCCATCGCAATTAGTTATCCAGTAGTTGTAAGCTGGTTCCTCCGGAGGTACACTCGGCAAGTTCAGTTCCACGGTGGCTATCAGCCGGAATGGTCGCTTTTAGCTAGGGACTCCAGGATTCCTATGTCATGCAACCGCTGTTTGCAATGAGTCACCATCAAATCAAAGCAGGATGGGTTCGAACGCGACGACATGCGAATAGTTTAGCAAATGTGTTTCGGTGACCCAGTTTAAAGCAACAAATGAACAAACTTTTATTCGACTTCAGAATACCCGGGCAGGAGTTGGTGTTCAGGCCATTGCATGTGGGGACAAATGAATCACCCGTGAGTAGAAAACATGGACGACTCATGTTGTTCCGAAGATGCGGTAGCCAATCAAATGAGCGGTTCAGAAGGATACGGTAGAATGCACCTACTGCCAGCTTGCCGTTCACGAGGTTGTTCGAGCACCATGCCTGTTCACAAAGTCCATTTAAACTTCGGTGCACGCTTACAAGCTTCCCACGCAGGAAAGGCCGTAAATAAAGTAAGACACCACCACGAGAATTTGATATTCTTTCGCAGCGGAAGCATCAGTAGTCACTGAGATCGAATTACTCTGGCACTACCTCAGAAGTTACCGCATGCCACCTCCAGTCCTACGACGTGTGGTCGCTCAGAGGCAAGGAAGCGACACAGCTCATTCCGTTGGTTCATATGGCTACATATGTTTGTGAATGCAGCACGGAGATCCTGAGAGGTACGGCGGGACGTGCACTCTTCTTGATCACTCGAAAATTTACGATGTGTAGATCAGTTACGCCTTCTTCTGTTCATCATTTGAGCTCAAGGACAGCAGCTGTCAAGCAGGTCCTCTCTTCGGGTTCCAAGTCTCGGCGAATGTGAACCCTGGTGCATTTAAGCCTGGATAGCCGAGACAGAATGAGTCGTGGCGTGTTGTGGTGAGCAAAGGTGATACTTGTATGTCGGCATGATTGATTAGTATGCTGACCAAGGCGGACTACTTGTCTAATCGTTACGCTACCTTCAAATACATCCAACAGTTTATCAACGAGACCCTGAGGGAACTAAATATCGTGATCATAACGTTTCTGAGGGCTTTCATCTTGGGACTCTGGTGCATGAAACACCATGAGATTACAAAGCTTCAGTGAGATCTGTGACGAACTTGAAGCAGCAGGAGGGGAGGGGCTTGTCGTTATGGACGGTCGTCTATCGACAGGGGGACGCTGAAACTTGTTACGTGAACTTTTGCGTTTTTGAATGATCCATGTATCTTCAGTGTTCAGAGG